CAGCAACAACATAAAGCAGGCTAGAGTATATGAAGATATACTGAGAAAAAGATCAAGATGAACAGTGAACGTTTGATATTCTCCTTCGAATTGACATCTTGGAAATTCAGTTTATCTGAAGCTTCCGCACTATAGGTATCAAACAGCGGTAGAGAGAGGTAACTGAGGATTCCTAGTAATTAAAACCCTAGCTATTTGACTCTCCCAGTCTCAGGTATCAGATTCCATCCCTTTTTTATTTTAGGACTTTCTTTAATTTTTTCCCTTATTGTGATTTGAATGAAAGTTTGAAATATATTGGTTTTTTTTAAATTCACTCATTCATACACAATTTTTCTTTTATAGCACCAATGATGATGCCCATAATATAATCACTCTTTCTCCACTTCTCTGTAATTTTAATTTCTGCTAATCCTACCATCCTTTCTCTTCCTACCCATTGAGCAAATTCTGCTGTTTAGATCTTACATGGTGGATTATATTAAGGGGTGACTGCTTACTGGTGTTATTGGTCACCATATAGCCTTGTCTATTGTTGGGCTGAATGTTGAGCACAGATAGGAGTTTTGTTCCTGGCTCAAAGGATGAATAAAGATCATGTCAGGGGTTCTACCCAAGTGTCTATTGGGTTAGTAACTATAACCTTTCTTATGTATTTATGGTTGGTTTGTTGTTCCACCCTCCTACTTTCCCCCCACTGTATACAGGATCTTCTACTGTGATTCCTTTAAGAGTGGCCAGAGGTATTTTTCAGGCCCCATTGGGTTCTTCTGGTCTCAGGGTTGTGGGAAACATGGTAGATTAGTCTTTTGAATTAATAATTTCAGTATATGCTTGCTTTCTTCCCATTTCGTTGTTTTGGACATGGAGAGATCAATGGTTGCCTTTTATGCAAGGCTGCTCACAAATTTTTAAGACCTCATCACTGTTCTTCAAAGTAGAATGTAAAACACTGTCTTTGAGGAGTATGCGATGTGAGACTCTTAAGTGTGACAATCTTCAGAGGATTCTAGGTCCAACCCTTAAGTCACCTATCTGATCAAGAATAAAGTCAGCCTTCACATGGCTCCAATAACAAAAATAAATTGTTCCTGCTAAGCCCAGCTTAAATTTCTATTTTTGAGAAAAAGATTTTAAAAAGTTGATTGTTTTAAGATACTGCACTTTGGAACAGTTTGTCACATAGAAATAAATTGTGGCTAACCTTGAGGAAAATGGGAGTTTCAGAACACTTGACTGTGCTTATATGAAACCTATTCTTGGACCAAGAAGCAGTCCTCAGAACAGAGCAAGGAAACACTGCATGGTCCAAAATACAGAAAGGAGTGTGTCAGGGGTGCACCCTGTCCCTGTACCTTTTCAATCTGTAAGCAGAACAGATCATTCAGGAAGCAGGGCTTTATGAGGAGGAGTGTGGCATCAAGATTGGAAGGAAACTCATTAACAACCTACGATATGCAGATGATATGCAGCACCTTGCTGAAACTGAAGAAGACCTGAAGCACTTGCTGAAAAAGGTCAAGGACTGTAGTCTTCAATATGAATTGAAGATCAACATCAAGAAGACAAAATTATCATCATTGGGCCAATTGGCAGCACCAATAATAGATGGAGAAGAGATTGAGGTTGTTAACAATAACAGCTTGTGAATCCACAATCAACATTCTTAATTCCAGCAGTCAGGAAATCAAAGGACGAATTGCAATGGGAAAATCTGCTGTCATGGACTTCTCCAGCGCACTGAAGAGCGATGATATCAGTCTAGATACAAAGGTGCGCCTAATCCAAGGCCATAGTTTTTTCAATTACTTGTTATGCTTCAGAGAGTTGGACAATGACTAAGGATGACAGAAGAGGAATAGATGCCTTCGAGTTGTGGTGCTGGAGAAGAGTCTTTAATATACCATGGACTGCCAAGAAAACAAATAGGTCTGTCTTGGCGAGGGTGAAGCTCTGCCTTCCTTACTTTGGGCACGTCGCCAGGAGAGATTGGTCCTTGGAAAAGGACATAATTCTCGGAAGGATGGATGGACAGCGCAGGAGAGGGAGACCTCAGATGAGATGAACTGATACGGTAACTGGGGCAACGGGGTTTGGTTTGTCAGAATTAGTGAGACTGGCTCAGGAAAGGAAAAGATTCAGAGTTGCTGTACATAGGTTTGCTATACATCACAGATGACCTACCCAATAACATTCTATGACAGGTTTGGAAGTGGGAGTGGGATACACTTCCTAAACAACTTGCCTCCAGAAATTGAACTTTGATAAATGCCAGTTGTGGTAGAGTGGCTTCAGGCCTTTTATTCATAAAGCTGCTGTGAGTTGTGCGCAACTGAAGGCAATCAACAACAACAACAACAATATAAATAATTTGCCTTATCATTAAAATTACAAGGATTAAATTATTTTAAATTAAAATACTTGTCCAACCAAAATAGTACTTCTAAAAATCTTGTTATTGTTGGTTAATTCATTAAAGCAGATGGTCAATCTGGCCCCACTTGGTAGTCCTCTAGCTGTAACTCCATGGCTTGACTCAGAGAGTGAAAAGCAAAGCTGATGTTCCCCAACTTGGACCTCAGCTGCTGCTGTACACATCATATCACACAGCAAACACAGTCAACGTTTATGGCCCTATGAAAGTGCTACGGGGCCTTCCAGAGCTCCTGCACAGACCCTAGTTCTCCATTACTGAGACACCAACAAAGGGGTGTGGGCCCAACTTCTGCTGTGGGAATGTCAAATCTTCATTCTAAAAATAAAAATATATTTTTGTCCTCTAGCCCTATTACCCATGCTGGCTGGTCAAGAAGCAAAATGGAAGTAAAAAACTTTAATAATTTCTCTGAAATGGTTAAGAAATGAGGTTGTCTTGTTTTTCTTTTACAATTCAAATTTTTTTTAAAAAAGTTATTCCACTACCTGAGGTAGCATGAGCACCTGAGGTTGGGCTTGTCCCAAAGTGAGTCCATAGACTCATTCAATAGAAATGCTTGTTTTTCTCCTAATACATGTGGAATATCCCAGCCCCTACCACTGCCCAGGCAACGATGCCTAGTAGTGCAGACAACAGCCGTAGGAAAATTTTTCAATCTTTCAGGGGTCTGCCATGGAAGTTCCCAGTGAGGTTATCCACACTGTCCTTGGAAGACTTGAGCAATGGACACTGCATTGGTTCTTATCTGGGATGTACACCATTATCAACTGGAACAGCTTCAAGGAGATGATGTCATCATCAAACAGGTTGCCCATCCTGGCTGAGGCTCCAATGGAGCAATTGGTGGTCAGATACACTCCAGTTCTGTTAATAGAGTTCCTGTTCTCATTCTTGTCCTCCAGGCCAATCGTCACTATTATGTGGTCCTGGGAGTAGGTTACCTCAAAAAAGGGGGTTGTAGGCCCAGTTGCTGAAGTTGGCTGTGTAGCCACCCAGATCCATCCAGTGTTCATCTTGCCGCAAAACAGGGAGCCATCGTTCATCACCACCAAGATGTATGGGGATATATGTTGCTGTTGTTGTTATGTGCTGTCAAGTCACTTGCAACTCATAGTGACCCTATGTACAACAGCCCTAAACTATGTTCTATCCTGTGCCAATCACACCATCTCCAATACACCCATCCCAATTACCTCAGTCACTACTGAATCAATCCACCTCATAGAAGGCCTTTCTCTCCTGTGCTCCCTCCCTCACAAGCATGATGTCCCTCTCCAAGGACCGGTCTCTCCTTACAACATGTCCAAAGTATGTTAGACAAAGCCTCCGAATCCTTGCCTTCAAGGAGTAGCCTGGTTTAAACATTTCCAGGATGAACCTGTTTGTTTTCCTAGCGGTCGATTGTACTCTCAATACTCTTCTCCAGCACCACAGCTTAAAGGCATCAATTCTTCTATCCTCCCTAGTCATTGTCCAGCTCTCTGATGCATAACAAGTGATAGCAAAGACCATGGACTGTATCAGATGCACCTTAGTCTCCAGAGAGACACCATTGTTCTTCAGTACTTTGAAGAGGTCCCTAACAGCAGACTTTCCCATCACAATTTGTCTTTTCATTTCCTGGCTACTGGTGCCGAGAGTGTTGACTATGAAGCCAAGCAAACTAAAGCCATGAACAATCTCAGTCTCTTCACCATCCATCCTGATGCTGCCAATTGGCCCAGTGGTGAGAATCTTTGTTTTCTTGACATTGAGCCTCGATGCATATTGTAGGCTGCAGTCCTTGAACCTCTGCAGCAAGCGCTTCAGGTCCTCCTCAGTTTCAGCAAGCGGGGTTGTGTCATCTGCATAACACAGATTGTTGATAAATATTACTGGGATGGTTGTCCAGGAAGATGGCTGAGCTGTGGAAGCTGTTTTTACTTCTAAACACAGACCCTGGCATAACTGATCTTGGGTGTACCATAAGGCAATTCTCTCTTTGTTTCTCTGCACTCTGGACCTTTAAGTAGAATAAGACTTGCAGACTTTGAAAAAGAAGGGCTGATAACTCCAGATAGAACTTTCTTTTCTGTATTGTCAAAGATTAGAAGCATACACTGGCTTGTGAGCATACAGTGCTATCCTGAAATTCCTAGGGGAGCATGAAGCTGGAATTGACTTCTCAGTTGAGGTTGATGAGCAAATAAATATTCGCTGTTGCCATCATTTATATCGAATACCACTGGTTCTAGAACCAGAATAGGAAATAGAGGTCGGCAGGGTTGGGAACAGAGTCTGAAAGTCCAGACCTCCACAGACATCATTGGTCTAAGTTCCAGAACTAAATCCTTCTAGAAATATTTTTAATTTAGGAAGGCTTTTTTGCATGATTTTATTTTTTAAAAATTATCTACATATTTCTCTACTTACTTGATATAAAGAATGAAAAAGCAGACATTATCTTTAAAATAAAGCCTATTATAACTATGGTTGAACTTATGATTTCTTTTCAATAATTAAACCAAAATTTGAACCAATTTAATAGAATAATAAAAATGTTTTTCAAGTCACAAGGGAAGAAATGAAAAATATTCTTAAGAAACAAGTGATAGTAGAGGGTAGTTTAGAGTTTGGGGGAAAAGAATTCTTTATGAAACAAGAAAAGATTATCTGTGAAGTTCAACTTAGCAAGCAGCAAGACCGTAAGATAAGACCAAATAAGAACTAGGAGAAATAGTCCCCAGCTTGCAAAAATGATTCATGATGTGCTTGGCTATTAACAGAAAGGTTGGAGATTTGAGTCCATGCAGAAGCATAGCTCAAGGAGAGTCTAGTGATATTCTTCTCAAAATCAGCCAATAAAACACTTCAAGCAAATTGTACTGCGACACAAATGAGTTTGTCATGAGTAAAAATTGACTCAATGGCAATTAGTAATCAACTGATTAGGAGGAAAAGATTCTACCTGTCATTATCACCCATCAGGTCCACTTAGGGACAGAGAAGAGAAGACAGAGACAATGATGTTTACGTGTCCCAGAATACTTGGCTTTCTGGAGAGGAAAGCTTTTGGAGAGTCTGTAACATATTCATCAGTCCTTGTCTATATATTGAATTTTGCACTAACATATTGATTATCTCAGGTCATTTACTGCACCTCACTTTTCTCTACTGGTGCTTCCTTTTACTCACACCTAACTCTGCAAAAGCCTTTCTGTAAGGCAGAACATTTGCTCCAAAAGGAGTTTGAATGTGATTCTGTGTATCCTGCTTCTATTAAGTCTTCACATGACTTTGCGACTATTTTATTTTAAATATTTTGCTTTTGAAAAGTGCTTTTTGATTAAATTTAGCAGCTTCCTTCTCTGAGCTTTCACAAAAAAGATTTTGGCTTCATCTGGATCCAAAATTTGAAAGCCAAAGGAGTAGAGGGTGGTGACATGAAAGATTATAGACAATATCCTGGAGAATGTCTGGCACAAAAGTCACAGGACTGCAAAAAAATCAAAATGACTAAAAATCAGACCTGGAATAGCTAGCATCTGAGACTGAAAACATGATTTTTTCATGGTATCCATCAACAAGAATTACTTTTGTGTGTGTGTGTGTGTGTGTTTAATTTTTTTTTTCTCTTTCTTCTCCATAGGCATGGTTCCTTCTGACATGGTCTAAATCACTGCCTGGCTCTCATCCACTCACGTGCTTGGGAGTGAGGGCCTGTGAGATATTCAGACTTCAAGGTCTCACTCACCCTAGTCCCATACACAGCTTTCAATTCATTCTCCCTCTCCTCAAGCTCCTTCAGGACATGTTTAGAATCTTCAAGGTCAACCAGTTCCATGTCCAGGGAGCTTAGGACAATCTCTAGGGTCAGTTTTACTTACTCATAATAGTAATGGGATTTGAGGGCATATGGAAATGAAAAAGCCACCTTAGTGTACTGTGGGGGAGGGAAGACCTTCCCTAAGGTACTTAAATGGCTTTATTATGTTTACTGGGTGTTCACTTGTGAGGAGTGGAGAGATGCAGTGCTATGAGTATACTTTATGTAAGCCATGGGAATGCTTGCTAAGATATATACATGTGTATGCACTCACACATACATGCTTACAGAAGGTGTCTGAGTCCAGTCTCACGCTCTCCCACTGCTTCTCACTCAGGTAAGCAGCTCCACGTGAAAGATGCACATTATGTCGACATTCTTGTGCCATATTCTTTGAACTATAGGTGTTCAACAGCCTACTGTCTCTTTCATTCTTAACTTACATTTTCCACTTTTCTTGACATTTTTCCTTTGAGAAGAGGAAGAAGCCATTTTTTTAAAGACTTGTCCATGCTTGCAATGAAGCTTTCCTTCTCAAAGAGTGCACTGTTAGTGAGAAAAGAAACACTCATGGAGGGCACAGAATGAACTAAAAGCAAAAAGAAACAAAAACCAAGCAATGATAGTGGAATCTTTTGTCTCATGGATGGAAGAATGATATTACTTTCCAATAGTCATTACAATAGATACTTCAATACTAGGAATACAGCTAGCTCTGTTCCTTAGTACCCCTGCTCTGAGCACATAACCCTGCTCTGGAGCGCCTATTTTCCCACTCCAGAGGACGCTATCCAGGTTGTACTCACTGAACCCTTTTCACATACATCCTCTTGCTTTTTCTCCAATTTTTCATTCACTGGATGATACTTTTAAACAGAAGTTTGTATTAAATATCTGTGATGCACAGATTAGGCTATAGTTATACTGGCCCTGTCTAAGAGCTCCATAGCATCTAGGAGGTGACCATGACATCCTGCTAAAGAGAGTGCTGCTTTAGGGGGTTGAAGGTAACAGGAAATTAAGTCAGTTTGGGTGAAAATACTACCCAGTAACTCTGGACTTTTAAAAGGATAACAAGACAGGATTTAGGAAAAATCTAAATTATTAAACTTTTTGTCTAGAGAGTTTAGAAGGAATATCAACTGGTTTGGAAAGGGTCAAGTCCCAGATTTTCCAGCACATAACTGAAATGGTATTGAAATACGCGAGAAGGAACCACTACCTTTTTATTCCCTTTATACTCTATGCATCCATATGTAGAACAAGGTGCTTAGTTTGCTTGTTTGAAAATAACATCTTTGGTGATAGAAGTACCCTCACCAGGACCATCTGTGACTATTTCCACATTTATATTTCTGACAATAAGTCTACTCACATATTTATATTATCATTATATGAAGTAGAATATAAGATGATTTTGAGTGTGATGTTAATATCAGATTTCATAGTAAATATTTCATTTTCAATCTATGTTCAATCGTGTTTTTTTCTTGTGTCACTATTTCAGTTTTGTTCATTTTTCCTTTGCCCCCTTTATCTTTGCTTTTTTTTTGTTTTTATAAAAATAAAAGAACATGATATTTGCCAATCAACAGTTTAAAGTGTATAATTCAATAAAACTGATCACACCAATCACTCTGTATAGCCACCATCAACATCTATCCATTGCCTACCTTTCTCTTTTTGCTGTTTGTATTGTAATCAGATAAAGTAAATGCTATGATATTAACTATGTAAACTGTACTGGATGTTTTTGCAGACTATTGTAATTCTTACTTTTGTTAAAGTTATATATAGACCATAAAGGCATTGTTAACTTTTGGATGCAAGATTAACCACTTAATCCTATGTGAGATTTAAAGCCTTAAGGGAGCTCTGGTGGCCTGGTGGCAAGAAACTGCACTGGGATTCCAAAGAAGCACAGTTTGAATCCACCACATGTTGTGCTGGAGAAAGGGGGGGAAATCTCCTGTGCCAGTCAGATCTGATGATACACAATAAGAAAAACAAACAAACAAACAAAAAGATGTAAAGCTTCATTTTATCATTTTATAACACTTTCTTTTTGATCTATTTACTCTTTTGTTTCTGAGAAAGCTGTTAAGATATGTCAGTTTCTCTTTTCTTCCTGTGTCTTACTGTTTCACTTGTCTTAAGTTATATTTTTTAGGTGGAGACAAGTGGATATTTAATTTATTCTTATATATTTAATTATATACTTTATTACTAAATAATGAAACAAATTTTCCTTAATAAAACATTTATTATAGTTGTGTTGTTTTTTGATGTCATATAGTTGACTATGACTCATAGCAACCTGATGAATAACAGCTCTGAGCCTTGACCTATGTATCCTTTGCCATCCTTGAGATCTCTGGCAGCTCAAGGTCATTGTTGTAGCGATTGTGTCAATCTACCTTATTGAGGGGTCTTCATCTTTTTCTCTGATCTTCCACCTTTCCCAGCATGTTGTCTTTTCCAACAAATTTACATTTTGGATATTACAGTTGCTATCTAAAATTCTTTTGAACAAGATATTTTGTGTTGTTTTAAATTTTATGCTCCATCTATTTAGTCTAACCCTTTTAAAATTATTAGACTAAGAATCTCTTTTTAAATAATACATAGTTAGAATTTGTCTTATAGTATTTTTATGGATAAATGTGGACTGGCACAAATTTGAATTGGTCTTGTGAGAGAGTATAATTTGCATGGGTTTTAACCATAATTTCAGAACATATTTTATTATCTTAACATTTAAACTCTAGTCTTTTACTTGGTTACAATTGATTGGGTTTGTTTTGTTGTGTTTTTTTTTAAAATTAAACCTCATATGGTTTATTTATGTCATTCCTCTCAATAAAATCAGGGTGCCACCATGAATGCTTGCAATGCTACCCGCGGTCACCCCCCTTTCTTCATTCTTCAAGGCATTCCTGGGATGGAGGACAAGCACAAATGGATATCCATTCCCTTCTCCTCCTTCTACTTCATGACTGTCCTTGGGAATAGCACCATCCTCTTCATCATCTCCACAGAGCGTTCCCTGCACAAACCCATGTTTTTGCTCCTCTGCATGTTGGCTCTTACAGACCTGGGTATGTCCACAACTACGATTCCCAAGGTATTGTGCATCTTCTGGTTTGGCCAGAGCGAGATCAGCTACGAAGGCTGCCTGATCCAGCTGTTTTTCATCCACTCCATCTCTGCTATGCAGTCTGCTGTCTTGATGACCATGGCCTTTGACCGCTATGTGGCTATCTGTGAGCCCCTACGCTATTCTACTATTCTTTCCAATACTCGCATTGGGCTTATTGGCTTGGCAAGTTTGGCGAGAGCTGTCCTCTTCATTCTCCCCATGCCTATCCTTCTCCAGCAGATGCCTTTTCACGTCAGTCGTGTGATCCCCACTACCTACTGTGAGCACATGGCTGTAGTGAAGCTGGTGTGCGTGGACACTACAGTAAACCGAATGTATGGTCTGGCAGTGGCCATGTTGGTTGCTGGAATGGACATCTCGGCTATTGGTTCATCTTATGTGCTCATCATTCGAGCCATAATGCGGCTGTCTAAGGAAGCCCACCACAAAGCAGTCAACACCTGCACCACGCACATATGTGTCATGCTTATCTCTTATACACCCTCACTTTTTTCTTTTCTTACTCATCGTTTTGGCCGAGGCATTCCACCCCATGTCCACACCATTCTTGGAAATCTCTACTTCCTGATACCACCAATGCTCAATCCTATTATTTATGGAGTGAAAACCAAGGAGTTTCGGGAAAAAGTGATCAAATATGGGCGGCGAAGGAAGGACCCCTCACTCATTGGCTCTGGCCAAAAATCTGTTTCATAAATCTACCAAGTGTGGGCATGAGAAAGAAATATCAAATGGGTACAGTTGCTGAGGGAATTGATTAGTGTTAGATATATTGCCAGATTGTCTGCCAAAAACATTTCTTAGTTAGGGAGACTAAGAAAGAAGATTTTCTTGATCTTACTAGTTTAAAGACAAGACATATATCCCCTACAAGCATGCCAATAATGATATCTTTATCATTATTAGTTTTGCATATCTGACAAAATAGCTGGGCAAATTGTATAGGATAATGTTATAAAAATACTTTGCACAATATATATTTGAACACACTTAAGATGGGATGGGACACATATGTGTATTTGTTCTTGTCTATAAGGACAAAATGAGAGCTATGGTTTATTTGTGTGGTGGTCAGTGAAGGAGGACCAAGAAACTTTAAAATCAAATTGAGAGTCACTATTTTTTTATTATTCTACTATTTTCAGTACTGCATGCTTCCTTGCAGACTTGGGAGAATTTGGATTGAAAACATTATCTCCAATTCCTAGAGAAACTTCAAAGGAAAAGAGATTGAAAGCACTGAAATGTAAAAGATTTTAAACTTAAACTTTTTGACTAATATCATAGCTCTAAAATCTCCTAGAGTCAACACTCCTGCTGGCCTCAACTAATTTCAGCATCTGAAAAGATTCTATTGTAAAGTGACAATTTTGAAAATATTCTGCCAATGATAATATTAATAAAAGTAAATTTTATGGAGACCAATGTGGTAAACCTATGTACTGGCATCTCTTCTGAGTGCCCAGAAAGAAACCGCATACATACTTGAACTTGATGTGGAACCCAGCTGGTAGCCTAAACATGAACATCAACTTTAAGTAGTATTGTTTACATTTTATTTGTGGCGTCATGGCAAATATTTTAATATATATGAAGTTTAAAATGATAGAAATTCTGTTTTAAAAAATTATATTGTAGAAATAAAAATATGAAGGCAAACGTAAGCAGAAATTATGTCTACCCTCAAGGTCAAATGGCCTCTGTTTAAAAGAGACTCTTAGACTATTTAATCTCCAGAAAAAAGTAATTAAGCATTTCTAGCTTGGTATCAGCTCTACCTGTTAAAGAAATACTTCAAGTAAACTGTACAACTCAATAATATGATAAAGGATTAAGACAATATGAGAAGAGACTGAGAAAGGTAGGATATTTTAAAGCTTAATATAGAGGACTTAACCTGTGGTAGAAAAAAAATAGGTTTTTAAGTATTTAATGGATAGTGTCTTTTTGGTAAACAGAGAACCAAAGAAGATATGGGAGGAATAGTGGTAAAAGAACAGATTACTGTCTACCTGAAATTGATACCAAGAATAGAAATGCCACTCTTCATAGACATTTAGGTGGTGGCAGTGGGAAATCAACCTCAACAAAACGTTGTTGAAATTGCAACTTTATTGAAAAATAAGCAGATTTTAAAAAGATTTAAGACATTAAATTTGAAAAACTGTGGTAGCATAAAACAAGAGTAAATAATTTTCTTCCATAAAATTTAAATGGGATTTGAAGCACAACATCATAGTCTGAACACTTTGAAATCTCTTCCTGCTTCCTAAAATTAGTTTCTTTTCCTTTTGCTTGTTGATGAAAATTTTAAAAAGCATAGGTCTATTTTTATTAAAATTAGCATATAAAAAGATCATTTATATCTGCATATAATATATATTGAGAGTATTATGCTTGGATAGTTGGTAGCAGTAGCATATCTCCGGGGAACTGGAGACAATAAGGGGAAAAAACAGAAAGCAAGACATTCTTTGCACATTTTTGGTTGGATATCCTTCCCCCTCAAATCTTTATTAATTTGTGGTGAACTATTTATTTATTTATTTATTTATTTATTTTTACTGTAGAATGAGCATGAATTATCACCTGTTGACTTCTAGGAAATGTAGCAGAAAACTCCAATGTTAGCTCTTTTTTCCATGTCTATTGAATTGTTCTTAGTGGTGCAACATTTGAATAATTTTAAAGTGTTCGAATTCTTAGTCAAAGTTGATTCACTTCAGTTAGGTTTTTGGAAGTTGAATTAATCCAGGGTCAGCTTCTCTATTACTAAATCTATTCTGTTTTGAGGACTTGAACTTTGAAATGGTATCAAAGACCCAAATAAGGAAACTGTAATTATATAATATATTACAGTTTATGAAAGACTAGTGTAGAAATAAATAAAAATTGGAGCTCTGGTGGTCTAGGGGAAAGAAGCTGCACTGCAATACCGAAGGCATGTGGTTCAAATCAACCAGATGCTGTGTGGAAAAGGAGGGGCAACTTTCTCCTGTGCCAGATGGGTCAGATTTGACGGCACACAACAAGAAAATAAATAAAATCTTTAAAAGAAATAAACAGAACTTAAGAAACTCATTGCTACCAAATTGGAACCAACTCATATGTGATCTTCTAGTAAATTTTTGGAGGCTGTAAATCTCAGGGAAGGAGAAAGATCACATCTCTTTCCTGAGACATTGCTGTTGGATTTGCATCATCTTTGGGTTAGCAATGCAACGCCCTTGCTTAGAAATAAAGATCTAATAACTAGATGATCAAGAAAGTAGTCCTCAGACTAGAGACTGAGGCAAAGTAGTAAAAGGGTTTTTCAAGTATTATTGTTGTTGTTATGTGCCGTCAAGTTGCTTGCGACTCATAGCAACCCTATGTACAAGAGCCCTAAACCCTGCTCTATCCTGTGCCAACCTTATTGTCTCTGACACACCAACCCCATCTCATCAAGGGTCTTCTTCTCCTGCACTGTCCCTCCACACTTCCAAGCATGTGCCCCTCTCCAAGACTGGTCCTTCCTTGCAACATGCCCAAAGTACATCAGATGAAACTGCAGAATTCTTGCCTCCAAGGAGCAGCATGAAGAACCTGTTTGTTCTCCTAGCAGTCTATGGTATATTCAACACTCTTCTCCAGCACCACAGCTCAAAAGTATCAATTCTATTTCTATCGTCCCTTGTCATTGTCCAGTTCTCTAACGTATAGCAAGTAATTGCAAAGACTATGGCCCGGATCAGGTGCACCTTAGTCTCCAGACTGACATCGTTGCTAGAGATGCTAAAATCTTGGTTCCCCAACAAACTGAGACCATACCAACCTTGTGTTTTGGGAGTTCATGTGCTCCCAGAGAGTAGTAGTGCAGGCCAGTTGAAGCAAAATAAGGAAGGAGAAAAACCCAATATAAGAAATTCTTAATCTTGCACAGTGCTACCAGAAATATATGCCCGATCCCTGCCAGGACCATCTGAAGAGTCTTGTGCAATGAATCTCAGAACTGTCTTCTTAAAGGGTTGAGTTTTTACCACAGGAGCTCACCTGGGGCTTTTGGGCTATCCACCACCCTGACCTCCCCCACATTTCCTGGTTGTGCATGAACAAAACTAGAGCTAGTTATTGGAGGTGCCTGATGCTTTGCAGTTGGGCATGAATTACAGGCATTAGGCATGACCAAGGAGAGGCACTGCTTGGTTCTACCTGCAAGATACTAGCCACAACATCAGTGGCTACAGAAGAGATGAAGTCAAAGCAGTTATGATGTGTTGCATAGAGATTGTCCAATGCAGAGACTTATGGTCTAAAAACTTTGATTAAAATGTAATTTTGCTCAGAGTTTAATAGGAAACTTAAATCTTGAGGCCACCTCACAGAATTATTTACGTATTTTGACTTTCCAATCTTTAGTTTCAAAATTATCTAACTTTATTAAAACACATTGCTGTTGAGTAAATTCCAATTAGTAGAGACATCATGAAAGGCCTCAGAGTGGCAATATGCTCCAAAGCCTTCAATGGCTGGTTTTTCAGAAGTAGACGGGCAGGACATTCTTTTGAGGCACCTCTAGATAGACTAGAATCTTTGTCCTTTTAATTAATCAATGAGCACGTGATTATCAACACTAAAGCACTAGTTTTTTAAAGATAATTCAATTCCCACAGACATTAGTTAGAACTGCTTCAGGTAACTTCTCTCCCTCTCACTGTAGTATAGTTGGAACTGACTCATGACTGACTCATCGCTGGGTTTTTGCAACTGTAAATCTCATGGGAGGAGAGTACCTATCTATTTGCCATGGAGTTACTGGTGGTGAATTCAAACATCCAGAATGGAGTGGCCTTTTGATGAGCAAAAAAACTCTCTACAACAAGGACTATGTTACCATAACTTAGTATATTAGTATATCAATGTGTGTGTATATATATATATATATATATATATATATATATATATATTTGTTGTTGTTGATTGCCTTTAAGTCAAGCAACCCTATGAACAATAGGCCTGAAGCCTTTCTATAACTATTGACATTTATCAAAGTTCGTAGAGTTTTCAGAGGCATGTTGTTTAGGAAGTGGATGCCACTCTTGCTTCCAAACCTGTCTTAAACTGGAAGCTCCACCAAACACTGTTCTCCATGGGTAACCCTTATGGTATTTGACCGGCACTAGGTTCAGCATCACTGCAACCCCAGGCTACCTCAGCACAGCATATTGACAGAAGAGTGCTGTTCCACTTAGAAGCATGTTCCTCCAAAATATAATAACAACCAACTTTAAATATAAGGCCCTCTTGAGGTCTTGTTGACTCTAAACAGAGGTTTAAATAAAAAAAATTAAAAGAAACAACCAATATAGTATGTTGTTGTTGTCATTACATGCCGTTGAGTCTCCTGTGATGTATAGTGACCCCATGTACAGCAGCTCTGGACCCTTCCCTCTCCTGAGCCAGTCTCACTAATTCTGACACACCAACCCCTATTGTCCCAGATACTGTATTAATCCATGTGATCTGGGGTCTTCCTCTCCTGGGCAGTCCCTCCACCCTTCTGAGCATGATGTCCCTCTCCAAGGACCAGTCTCTCCTGGCCACATGCCCAAAGTTAGTGAGGTGGAGCTTCAAAATCCCCTCTCCAAGACAGAACTATTTGTTTTCTTGGCAGTCCATGATGTGTTCAAGACTGTTCTCCAGCACCACAACTCAAA